AAATTTGAAAAAAATATTTCACCTGTGATCTTTTTTCGTTAAGTTACGGTGGTTTAAAGATTGCCATTTTGGTCAATTGGGGATAATTAACGCGCGATATATTTCGCGCTAATAACGCGTAAGCGGATAGTTATTCCGTATTAGAAATCGTTCCAAATTGGTTGAAAGAAGCATATTTGCCATATTTCATTTGTTACAGGGAGCGAAATCTATCCTTTTGTACTTTATATGGCGTGTGGGGGGATGATTTTCATTAAAAAATATCAAATTTTAGAAGAAAAAAAATTTCAATTAGTTTTATTTCATTTAATTTTTAAATGTTATTACTGCTCCATAAACCTTAAATGGCAGTCGGAATATTCAGGGCTTCGCCATGTTACGAGCAGTTTTCTTTATGTACAGAGTTGATTTTGCAATTTTAGACTTTAGGAAAGGTTTCTCTCAAAAATGGCAGTCTTACAATTCCCATCGTACGGGAAATGTATAAATGTGAGTAACGAAATCTCAGTGAAGTCCTTATAACATTGCTGTTTGGATTGTTCACGAGGGATCAGGATTAGAATGTCTGCTTATGAGACATAAAGTTCTGAAACTGATTAAACCTCAAACTTCAGTCGTATGGCAGGATGATTATCGAGCGAACTGCTCTAGTGCTATTGTCACGAGGTAGTCTTGAGAATTAGAAGTTCAAATTGCATTAACAAGTCAAAATAATCTTTTTTTTTAGACAAAAAGTATTGAACAAATTGCATGATCAAGTCTTTCAAAATCGTTCCGGGCAACATCCCCGTCTTTTTTTGTAATTTTTTTCCAAAAGAAAGTTAATTTTCGAATCGCAACTAGTGTTGCAACAAAAATTCGAACATTCGAACGTTCATTCGCGAGATCGACATTCGAATGCTATTTTCATCATTCGAACAAAGACTATTCTAGAACAAAGTTGTTGTGTGAGTGTGAATAATTGTAAATTCACGCATGCTGCTCTGTTATTTGTTTGAAAAGGATCGAGCACACCATCAGAGCGTGTTTTTAGTACAGCTGGTGATGTGGTAACAAAAAAAACGCAGTTTGTTATCTGGGGAGCATGTTGACATGCAAATTTCGGACTCTTGATTTGAACATTTGTTGCAACACTAATCGCAACTAGTGATATCACCAGTGTTTTTATTGTGTTCAAGTTCAAAGGTTCTCGGATAGCATTGAGATCACTTTGATATCAAAGTTTATTTAAGGCAAAACTAAGTGCGCACTCTTAAATCTATGTTTTAAGAACTGTAAGTTAAAACAAAGCAAACAAACAGCGAGACGTTAGTTCTAAGGTCATCTCCTCTTCTTAACTTCTTCCTGCATACTCCTTCATAAAACCAGATCCCTTTGTTTTCTATGCTTCTTTCAAAAATAGCCGTGAAAGTGTTGAAGATTTAATTAAGCGGTTTAAATGAAAGCAAAGATCTACCTCTTAATCACTTGCCCTATATATCATTAGTACAGCCATCATTGATCAAAATTGCCTTGTTTAGCGCTAGAAGAGCCAATGATCGAACTGAAAATGAGTTATTGTTTTGACAAATATTTTTCTGTTGAAGGTTTGGACTGCCGGTATACTTTTTACTTCATTAACCAGATTCTGAAATTCGATAAAAACCGAATGGAAAAAATTCGGTTGTCAGACTACACTTAGACTAGGGGCGTATCTAGGATTTTCTCGAGGGGGGAGGGGGCGGATTTTTAAGAAAATTTCGAAATTTTTGGCCTTTTTTATAGGTCGACCAAATTGATTTTCTGAGCTCTCCCAAAGCTCTACAAAGACCCTGTTGTGGCCAAAATTTCTGCGCCGGAGGCTAAATTTTGAAAAAGCCGGCCGAAAAAGCGTATTTAGGCTTTTTTTTGGAAAAGGTTGACCAAATTGATTTTCTGAGCTCTCCCAAAGCTCTACAAAGACCCTGTTGTGGCCAAAATTTCTGCGCCGGAGGCTAAATTTTGAAAAAGCCGGCCGAAAAAGCGTATTTAGGCTTTTTTTTGGAAAAGGTTGACCAAAAAATTGCATTTTTTCGGCGCGCGCTCCCGCCTTAAATTTCGTATATATTGGCGCCAAAGGCGCCTTTGGAAAAATTTCAGGGTCCGTCACCAAAAATGGATATCTCAAAATAGTAAAAGGAGGACCCTTTGGGTTGACAGGGGGTCGAATTAGGGGAGAATCTAGGATTTTGTCGAGGGGGGTGGGGCGGATTTTCAAAAAATTTTCGAAAAATTTGACCTTTTTTTTAGGTAGACCAAATTGATTTTCCGAGCTCTCCTAAAGCACTAAAAAGACGCTGTTTTGGCCAAATTTTCTGCGCCGCAGGTAAATTTCTGAAAAAAAAACAGGTCAAAAAAGCCGTTTTTGGCCACTTTTTGGAAAATGTTGACAAAAAATCGCGTTTTTTTTGGCGCGCACTCTCCCTCAAAATTAGTATATATTGGCGCTAAAGGCGCCTTTATACAATTTGAAGGGTCAATCAATTTTTCGTAAAGTTATGGGGGTTTAAAGATTGCCATTTTGGCCAACTTGGGACAATTAACGCTCCATTTATTTCGCGCTATTAACGCGTAAGCGGAAATTTATTCCGTCTTAGAAATCGTTTCAAATGGGTTGAAGAAAGCTTGTTTGCCATAATTGATTTGCTACTAGGAGCGAAATCTGTCACTTTGTATCTTAAGGCGTGCGGGGGGATGATTTTTTACAAAAAATCTCAAACTTTAGAAAAAATCTTTTTTTTTTTTACATTTAACTTTTTCATGTTAGACCTTAAAAGGCTGTCGGAACATTCAGGGCTTCGCCCTGATACGAGCAGTCTTGTTTATTTGGTTCATTTAACTTACAGCGTTGAATTGAGTGGTGCATTGTTAAGCAATTACTTTCAAATTAGTTGTGTATAAAGTTTACGATCAGCAAGTTTTCTTTTCTCCGTTAAATTTTTTTTCTTTTCAAAAACTCTATCAGAGTACTGAAACTAAAGTAAAACAAGACTGCTCGTATCAGGGCGAAGCCCTGAATGTTCCGACTGCCTTTTAAGGTTTTATGGAGCAGTAATAACATCAAAATAAATTTCAAAAAAAAAATTCTTAAATTTGAAATATTTTAATGAAAATCATCACCCCACACGCCATATTAAGTAGAAAAGGATAGATTTAGCTCCTTGTAACAAATCAATTATGGCAAATAAGCTTCTTTCAACCAATTTGGAACGATTTTAAGACGGATTAACTCTCAGCTTACGCGTTAATAGCGCGAAATATATTGCGCGTTAATTGTCCCAAATTGGCCAAAATGGCAATCTTTAAACCCCCATAACTTTACGAAAAATGATAACAGGTGAAAAGTCTTTTCAAATTTGAGCTCAGGACAACAATACCTTTCGAATGATATAAAAAACTCCGTCAAAAATGGCAAGTTAAAAAGTCGAAATTTGTCTGAAGAAAAAAAAACACACCCCGAGAACAATTATTCCGTTACTTTCGTATCGAAAGTCGGAACAATAGATTTTATGAAAAGAAATAGTTTTTTGAAAAGAATTCGAAAAAATAGAGATTTTTTGTGAAAAGTTTCGCAATAATAGTTTTTTCAAGAAAATTAATTATGCGTTTGTATAGTACATTCTTTGCTGCTGCTTGCCAGTTTGCTCGAGTTAGTACTTCAGTGTTTAGTTGATCAGCCTCACAGTGTCAATGAAGACAAAAGCATGTCTTTATTGGGCGATGATGTTTGGTATGAATTGTTTCCGAGTAGACCTTAATTAGTCATTCGCAAACATTTCCTTCCTGTCAAATCCACTCTTATAGTTACAATGCACAACATTCGTTAATCATGTTTACTATTTTGCACATTGTTTTAAATTGCTTCATGGTACATGAAAACAGTTGGTAAGAAAATAGTACGAAAATTATAAGAAGAACAGAATTATTTCTGGCTCAATTCTATTGGCCGACTTTTATCACAAGTATCTGAGACGCTGCCGCCACGTATTAAGTCTACAAAATTGTATTTTAAGTCTACAATTTTTTATTTTATTCTTTTTCGCGCATTTATCTTTATTCTTCTTTCTTCTCTGAAACTACAAACAGTCAAAACTAGGCTTATAGCAAAGGTTAGATTTATTTGATTTTGTTTAAATCTTTTTCTCAAACCTTTTTGGCACCTTTGTGTCCTGTTTTATTTATATCCAATCCAGAAAATTTTTGGGAATTAAATCTGAATTCAAATTGGATAGGAGTCATTTTAAGAATAAGACCGATTAATTTGATATAATTTGATTAGAGAAGCAGCTTGTCCATCAGAAACTTTGTGAACTTCGAATCATTTTTGACATTTTGGTGAGTGGTGTCAATAACCTTTCAATGATTACCAGACGTCTTAAGCTGTTTTCATAGCGTGGCCGCTTAGAATATAACAATTACGGTTTTGTTGAGTTAAAAGATAACAGTTATCAAATTGGGTTGCCCAATTCTTTGATGCATTCGGTCTTATTGTCGCCGAACTGTTTAAACCCTTAACTCTTTAATTACAAACTCAAACAGTTTGCTTGCTCGCCTATTAAACTAGATCAATATCCGTTTTTTTGATAAAACGTGTTGAACCAACGGAAAATTGGGTAGTATACCAAATTAATTGAAATCGGTAAACAACTTTAAATCTAACCAAGGCACTGAGTTTTGTTTGGTATGCACAAATACAGTTTCCTGAAATTTAGAAAATGCATAAACCCCTCATAATATATTCAGGCGTTCATTAAAACTAAAGTTGGTAAACTTGACTATTCTAAATTGGGAAACTTTCGTGATTTCGTTTGCCTTCAAACTTGCCTATTTGTCTTTGGTCGCATTTTGAAGTGACTAACAAATTTGAAAAGACTTCGACGTCACCTTTATGGAACTTTAACCCAGTTTGACGAGCTTGACTTGAGTCAAGTTGTCAGTTTAGATAGCTGACTAAGTCCAAACTCTTTCAAATCTTTGTTTAGGTTCAATTTGAAGACACTAAAAAGCAAGAGAGGTCCTTATTTGACTGAGGATGTGTCTTTAAAAATTCCAAGAAAAGTCAGAAACAATGGCTTTCGACTCGTGCATATGTGGAACCAAGCAATAATCTCTCCTCTGATAACGGAAAAGATAGAATCAATATTGTCTGCAAAAAAGAAGGAAGATTCTCCTGAAGGAGGGATTACTAAATGTCATCAATCGATTTCCTTCAGAAACAACCCACATTTGGTGTTAAAAAGGTCATGAAATGCTTACTATAAAGAGCAACGTTATTGCATCCAGAATACGACTGAGAGTTGATGAAAAAGTCCGAAATTTCTACGCGTCCGATCATTAGAAAATACTTATAATTGAAACCACTCACGTAGCTAGCGCGTAGCTTACATAACATTTGTGGGTTTTATTCTAAAATAGTGAAATCTTAGCTTCTTTTTACCAGCAAAATCTTCATACAACTGACCATAAATGGAATACAAGCGTGAAAAGTGTCTCAAAATAGCCACACTTTCTGTTTTTATCGCCCTTCTAATCTACCTTCTAGTCGGGTCCCTTCTTCTGTTTACCATTTATGGAGGGGAGGGCAAAGTCACCTCTGAGAGGGCAGATTACAACACTATCGTGGGGGACTTCAAAGAGGAATTGAAGGGTTGTTACGATGCCTTTCTGGCTACGTCGGAACTTTCGACAGAGTATTCAAATAGCAGTAGGGTAAGTCTTTCGCTTAATGAACGTTTTTGAAGTAATTGCGACATGCACCATTCCCGCGTGGGGGTTGGAGACAATTCAACGAGGAGGCAAATTATCAACTTGAATACAGTATTCGGTGGCCAGTCAATAAGCCGAATGGTCTAAGAGCAGAATGGGTCCAAGAGCAGAAAAATAGAAAATTATCTATTTCTACAAGCTCGGTGTGGCTAATCGGTAAAATAATAATCAGAAATGTCAATAATAGCAAAGCAATGAACATTTTATGCTTAATTTAGGCAATTTAATCAAGAAATTTTTGAAACTTTTTGAAATTTTTATCAAATAACTTTTAATAATTTTTGAAAATTTTTGAAATTTTTATCAAATAACTTAATGAAATTAGTCAATTCATGCATAATTTATTCGTCTTCTTGGTATTTTTTGACGATTCTAATAATTGATTTATCAATTAGCCCGTATAAACCAATATAAGTCAATATTTTTCTGTTTTTCTGCTGTTGGACCCATTCTGCACTTGGACCATTCTGCTTATTGCTCCGCCTCCACAGTATTCATTGCATAAATTGCATAAGCGATATGATATGAATTAAATTTATTAAAGTGATGAGCGGATCAAACTACAACACCCCTCCTTCTCATAAGTGACTTACCGTATATTCTTCTCCATTGAACAGTTGAGGACTCTAATGAGCTGCAAAGCACAAAATTACAAGTTAAATTACCAAAAAGGGATCTACTTAACAATCCCCCCTTTCAAGAAAGGGTGGGGGGGGGGGGGTGAGATTCTTTAGTAGGTACAATAGGGGGGAGGGGGAGATTGTTAAGTAGATCCCCAGGGATCTGCTTGACAATCTCCCCCCTTTCAAGAGACATTCTTTAGTAGGTACAATAGGGGGGAGGGGGGGAAGAGATTGTTAAGTTGATCCCAAAAAGTTAGGAAGGGGCTGGGTGAGGTTTTACTATTAGACTATGGTGTTTGAAACCATTTGCGTGTTAATTGAATAAGTAACATTGCGATTGGCGAAGACTTATTGGCGTTCCCTAGTCGATCAGGGAAAATTATCTTGCAAGATCCTGCAAGGTTCTTGCAAACTAGGGTTATCTTGCTATCTTGCAAAATGGAGGTTGTCTTGCAAGATCTTGCAGGATAATCTCCCTTGTTCGACTTGCGTTCCCCGATACATAATAAAAAATTTAAACTGCGCCCAAAAAAATGGTATTTTTTGACACTGCGCTTAATTATTAGACCACAAAGACAAGTAAAGAATGTAAAATTGCGTTATTCAGCCAACGCGAAGGCTACTTGAAGATAAAAGCAGAGAATGGAGGGTTGAATGCGTCAAGAACCAAACGCCAAAAGATCCTCAAGCTACCCAATATTTTAATTGTATCTTCTGTTTCAGGTGCGAGACCGAGACTGGTTCCTCTCCTGTTCGGGGGACTCGGCCAGTGTGTTGGCAGCCTCCCTCTTCCACCCCTACCATACCAGAGTGACCAAACAAGTGTCCCTTCTGCAGACCACATCTGCCGCCATTGGTCTCACTCTGTCATTCGGTGAGTTCAAGGCTGAATAAACAACTTATTATGTGCGATTTTGTTAACTATCCCCCCCCCCATAAGCAAAGCTACTATGGTAACAGGAGTTTAGTTGCAAAAATTCATCAAACTAATTTCAACAGTTTGTGAATAGTTATTAGAATTTTTTAATTGAAATCGCACTTTTTAAGTTCTTTCCTTAGATTGGAATAATATTGAGTTTATTTTAAAGGTAGTTTTTTGGGCTTAAACCTCCTTATAAAATGACCAAAAACTACAAGTTTGGCACGTTATACTTATTTGTTGAAATATTCGATTTTACCAACACTTCTAATCATATTTTTTCGTTAAAAATTTCTTGTCGTACAATTTTACATATTCTATACGTACAAAAAATTTATGAAGTTTCTGATAAACAATTTCTCATACATGAAAATTGAATGAACTGCATTTTTTTCATCAAAAAAAATATCCTTTTTCCGAGTTTCGCTAAATATTTTTGGTGTTTTGGCCAAAACCAAAAACCACTGACTTTCTAAAATCAGAAAATCTACTGGTTGAAGAAAAGAATCTCCCAGATAACCAGTATTACCAGAACATTTATCTGAAATTTTTTTTATTTGCACTCAAACTAAAACAAAAACTACAATTTTTTTTATGAGCAAAAGTTTCTTGCTCAGAAACTTTTTTATTTGAAAACTATTGTCCGTTTTTTTGACAAATTATTTTTGAACGTACCATATAAAAGCATTGCAATTAAGTTCGGGTTCGCACAAATCTGGATGAAAAATTCAGCCTCAATTACGTATCTGAGGTAGTATAAGCAAAAAGAGCACAAAAGTATAGTAAAACAGGGCAGTATAAGCAAAAAAGACAAAAAAGCGAAAATTAAATTTTAAAACTTAACACAGACCTTTATTTAGAAAAAAAAGTTGCAGGTTAGGCGAGATTTTAGTTTGTAAGATCAAAACATCTTTTTCTTTTAGACGGTATAAAATGTCCCGTCAATTCTTTCTTGTTAATAGTTCTGAACTTGCCTGAAGATATATTCTTCACCTAACAAAAACATCCGTCACTTTCGTCAAAAGGCAGAACGATGATCGAAAAATTTATTTTGCTCTCATGACTAGTGTTTTTTCAGACGAAGAAGAATTATTTTATATAAGTTAATTCAGTATTGCTCTTAAACTTTTTTCAATAAATTTTTTTGTTCTAAAGCTTGAGAGGTTAGATAACGACATGAGGTGATCTGCATCAAACCTACCATGATTATTGAATCACAATCTTTACCTGAATAAATATTTGAAGAACCAAAAGTCATGAAACACAAACCTAAAACACATTCCTCAATAAAAATCAAGATCTATGAAACTGGCGATAAATTTTGGCACTTTGTCGCTGCGCGAAGGACGGCGAAAAAAACTGTTAATTAGACGTAATTTTTTTTGAACAGGTTCAATAAAAATGTGTTTTGAATAGTTATTTTTCTTTTACTTTTTCGTTCTTTTTACCTTCTCCTATTCTGCTAATTTATCTCACTTTTTGATGCTCTTTTATTGTTCTTCTCTTGGATTTAACCCAGTAAGCTCTTGAGACCTTATTATCTGTTTTGTCTTTCTCGGCTCTCGTTGGGAATAGAATTTTTGTGGGTTAAATTTTTCGAAAACAAAATTTTTTATTTGTTTTTCTTTGTTCAGACTTTTACTCAGAGTTTGATTTTTTCTTAATTTTCAGAGTTTTAATTTTTTTCAGATTTGTGGAAGTTTTTTGCCTCCACACTCTATGTTAAGTTCCAAGTTATCTATTTAACGTGTTTTTACGTTTAAAAAAAATTAAATAGCACGCTTTGTTTTACTTCTAAGCGCTTTTAATTTAAATTGGAAGTTAAATCAAGTTGAGCATTCAGCAATTTGCAAAAATTGATTTCAACTAGACATTTTTTTTCAAAGTTGTAGTTATTAGCCAATTGAGCTGAATACTTTTTTGGATATCTTGGATTTCAAACAGATTAGCAGCTGAGTTTTGTTGAACTGATTGATCATCTCGGTAAAACATACGAAGCACCCTCGACAAAGCTCCTTGTAACAAATAACAAAACTGTCGTGCAACCTATATTACAATTTAGTGTTAAGCCTTACGCATCCTAAGAAGAATGCAATTTTTCTCAATCAAAATGTAAGGAGAGTGTTCAGAAATATCTCAAGAGCACGTACTTATTAATCAATTCAAATTCAAAGAATTAGAAACAAGTGTTTTGCTCAGTAGCTTTATTTGTTATTGGAAGTTTAATCAGGGTCTAAAAACAGGGTAAAAAAACTCAGATATGAAAGCCCTATTTGATTTTTGAACAAGCTTGTTATAGATGGCGGAGCGAGCAAACCACTAGAGTTACGCATTATAGCAAGAAAATCACTAACAAGCATACAAAGCATATTCAATTGAGTCAGTTTTGTTAGGCTCAAATTGAACATTAGCTTAAATTATAATCATCCAATTTTTCAATGAAAAATCAAGAGTTTTTCGTCCCAGCAAATCAGGTTGTTTTATCGAATGTTTCTAGAGAGCTACATTTTAGATAACAGAACGCTTCTAAAAAAATATTTCGATTAGTTAGTCGGGCCTATTTTATGGACTTTTTTCTGGCAAAAGTTCTTTTTTTTTCGTTTTTAAGTTGAAAATTATAAATATATACAATTGCAAATAGTCAACTTATTTCAGGTCTAATTGTCGAGACACTTCTTTTTCCCAAGATCAAAAATATATAACAAAAATTTTCGCAATGAGACTACGTTGAACAGACCAGTACGTCCAATTGTGTTCTCCCAGGATGTAAGATTGTTGGCGTGAGTTTAAACTTATTTAAAAAAACTACCCAAGGGGCAATCCACTGAAAATTTTGGTTGTTATTTTCCGGACAATTTGAAAATTGTGGAGGAATTTTGTATTCGCGTGTGTTTTTTTTTGTTACCACCATTACAAATGGGGAGGAATTTTGTGTTCGCGTCTTTTTTAGTTTTTTTCTTTCTGTTTTCCACGCAAAATCAAGTACCATAAATAATCATCGGACTGGGTTGAGTGGTATTTCATTTTGAAGTCCTTACAGTCGTGATTTGAACCACTTAAAAAATTTTCAAAATAACTTTCCCAGTGTCGAGGAAACCAGTTTGAAATTTTTGAGTTTTTCTCTTATTTTGAGCGAAAAAAGCAGCGAGCATTCTTATTTTAATTGTTCAAGAGCGTGCAAAAACTTAATTCAAACGAAAAAAATTAGTCGTCTTGAGTAACGATAGTTTATTTTGAGCATTTCAGTATCTTGTTCAAATCAGAACTTGAAAAAAAAGTTTCATTGGTTCTTCTTGTCGTTCTTCAAGTAATTTTTCTACAAAACTGTTTTTCAGTTTAGTTATCTCCCTATGACTCAGTATGACGCCGAAAAAAAATCGACAACACTTTGAATTTTTTTTTGTGTTTTTTAAAATTATGATCGGAACATTTTGTGCTACATGCACAGTAACCGGCTATCCTTGTTTTTTCTTTGTTTTTGTTTTCCACGCAAAATGATGTACCACAAATAGTCATCGGAATGGGTCGATTTTTCCAACAGTTATACCGCATTTTTGATTTTTAGTCCAATTTCGAGTGAGGAAAAAATTTTTCCTGTTTTTACTCATTTCTTATTAATAGTTATTTATTATCTTGATTAATCATATCATGATTTATCATGATTTTATTATTGTGTTTAATTTTTTTGAAAGATTCTTCATATAATTATTGTACCGACCATTGAACATCGGGAGGAAATTTATGTTCGAGTGTATTTTATTTTTTTTTGTTCTCCACCAGGTACCGCAAATAATTATCGGAATGGTTCGAGTGATATATCATATTGAAGCCCTTTCAGTCGTAATTCGAACGATTTTTAAAAATTTGCAGATCCTTTTATCACACGACTCAAAAAACAACACTAGTTTGAAAGAAAAAAAAACATGAAAAAGCTTTAAGGTGTTTTTTATGATTATGGTCGGAGTATTCTGTGCTACTTGAACAGCAACCGGCTATCCTGGTTGTTTTGTGCTTTTTGTTGAGGGTTGACAACTTTTAAACAAGAAATATGTTCAGAAAAAAACTTAATTCAGAAAATGATAAGCGATCGGATATTGATTTTTTTCTGATCTGAACAAACCAGAAATAATCGAGGAAAACAACCGTTTAGATCTGAAATAGATTTTTTAAGGCCTTAAGTAAAATTCTTACTTGGTTTTATCATATCTCTGTTTTGACAAAATTGATTTTAGTCCCGCGCCATAAAAAGTGTCAGTGTGCATAATTTGTTCGGTTGGATTTCGTTTTAATTTTTGAAAATCCTACTTCAATTAATGTGGATCAAGTTTCCTTTCAACCTATTTTATGTTTACTTTTGTATCTGCTCTTTGAACATATGCTTATAGTTTCGCCAATTTCATCATTTCAGTGTAGATCTAGACATCCTGTTTTTTGTCACAGTGGGGTTTTTGGGCAGTATTTTAGATCCTGCTGTGCTCTAATGGCGTCCCAGACCGTCAGAGGTTAAAAAGATTCCATTAAGATATTAAACAAATTTTGACCGAGGCGTCAGTCTAAAAGGGCTCTAATTCATTCAAACTGATTTCATTTGTCTGAGTTAATTTAAATACCGCTCCTTTTTAAAGTATTTGTACTCTACAATTTTCCAAAATTTCATCTCCTTCACCCCTCAAGTTTTACAGCTCTGGTTTGAAAACAAATTATATTTAAGTTGAACTCAGCCAAATACGTCTTTGAAAGTTGTGCTTAAAATTCTAAAATAGTGTTTTGCTCAACTCTTTAGGGTTATCGAATTTAGATTTAGCAGTGGCTTAACTACTGAGTTATGATATTGGGGGGTATAACTCATAGAGTAATTTCGGATAGGGTACACCGTCTGCTCGTCACGCTATCTTATTTTCGGCCGGATAGATTCGTGCAACTTCTTAGTCTAATACCGATCCTAATCTTACTCT